AAAAGTACAGGAGGTAGCTCTTTTTTTGCTTAAGATAATGCTAAATTAAGCATATTCCTTAATATCTTATTGTTAGTAAAAGAGAGCCATTATTCCATATCTTCTCACATTTGCGCCAGGCATTGCTCTTTTTTCAAGAAGAAAATTACTGGGAAACTAATTTGGACTTCCTTCCCTCGCCTCGTCGTCCCTGTGAATTATATGTTACTTATCTATTTGTACAAGTGCATATATGGAACGCCAGAATTAGCTGCGCTTGGCTTATGATAGTGTCTCCAGTAGGCCATCACTGACATGGAATTCCCGCATTGATGGTCTGGTTGGCCTTGACATTATTTGTATGTATATGAACGACGTTTTTCTGGCATTGCACAGAAACAGCAAACGCTGCTTGTGTATGGTTCCGTTTTTTTCATAAAGTTTTACCAGCTTCATGCAGTGAAAGTTTTTTTACAGGTGGTAATTGCTCAGGATCCGGCGAATGGTACAGTGAAAATATTTGTGCGCTTTGAAAGCACGCAGGAGGCAGATGCGGCACGACAGGCGCTTGACAAACGTTACTTTGCTGGCCGCGAGATCCTGGCACAGCACTACGACCAGATATTATTCGACCACAATGACTATTCCGGCTAAAAAACGCAGCTTTTTTGTTCTTTTCAATGTTCTTACTTAAGTTTTCTGGTTTTATGTGATTGTCGCTTTGAGAGGTGTTCTTTTTTTTGTTTCAAGCCTCGCAGGTAACCGAAAAGGCCAGAGAGTTAAGAAAAAATTGAGTGTAGCGGTTCCCCTAAAAATGAGTTTTTGGCTAGCGGGGTCTTTATGCGTTTTTGCACTTGCATATATGCAAAAACGCACATTGTGACGATCCATGGCGTGCCTATGTGCGCGCATCTACACGGGTGTTGCAACACGGCATCCAGGCAAATTCCGGCGCCAAAATTTTACAAGCGGGTTCCCTGGCCAAGTGCCACCTCAGGACCGCGGTACCAACCTTCATGCGCGACTGCTCCGTTCGTACAACTACGTGAAAGCTTTAGCGGGAAAACTACTAATTTGGGAACCAGAAAAGCCGGAGGACTGAAATTTTCAGGAGATGTTCCTCTCTACATAGAATCCAAGGATTTCAAATTCAGCCACCGGGTGTGCGTAATCTCACGCACGGCCACGTGAAAGTTTTTAGGAGAAGATTGCTAGCTCAGGAACCAGAAAAGCTAGGCAGCTGAAATTTTTGGGGGATGTTCCCGTCCACGTCGAACTCAAAAATTTTAAAATCAGCCGCCGTCTGGGCGTGGTTCGGATATTCAGCCCTGTAAGAATTTTTGGCGAGATGAATCGCTAATTCGGGGACCAGAAAATTTTGAATTTGTAGAATCAGCCACGTGAAAATTCTGAATTTCCAGAAAATTTTGTAGAATTAGAAAATTTTGAATTTCTAAATTTTGTAAAATCAGGCACGTGTAGCATTTATTTGCACGCTCGCCTTCCCATTCACTCTAGCCCTCTTTCTCAAATTAATTGGCTCGCAGGCAATTTTATCTTCATTGAAAATGGCGAGAAATATCGGCTGTTTTATGTCATTTCCAAGCAGCGTTCTGCAATTTTCACGCTTATTTTTATTGGTTTTAGGAATTTTTATGATGCTTAAGAGGTTTTTTTCCATGTTCGTCATATTTTCATTTCCAGTTATTTTTTTACTGGTAATGTTGATTGTTGTAAAAATTTATTGTAAAAGGTTAGGTTGGCCATTCTTCTTCATAAAACTTTCTCCCATCGTCTTTGTTGACGAATAAGCAATCGGCTACATCGAATTGCATCTGTGTAATTAACAGCGGCCAGCTCTATTTTCGCAATTGGCTGCATGCACGTTTATTTGTTGTCGGCGCAGTTAAGCCGCAGCAGTGCTACGGGGAGCAACACAGGCGCGTCACACCACCCAGGTTCCCGGGCCTTGGTTTTGTAGGGGCCGGACAGTTCTGCTCTATAAGTCCGGCCATAGAGCAGATCCCCACAACTACCGGCCAGTAACATGCCTCAATACTTGTTATAAAATTTTAACAGAGGCAGTATATAAGGCTCTCATGGCACAACCAGAGAACCATGAAGGGAAAGGAGTGGAGCTGCACACACGTGCACCTCCTCAACAGCGCGACGGTTATGGACACGCTAGCACAGCAGCGGCATCCCCTAAGCATGGCCTGGATTGACTTCCAGAAGGCCTTCGATTCGGTGCCGCACGATTATATTATCTGGGTTCTGGATAGTATAAACGCTTCAATGAAGTTACAGCATGTTGTCCAGCGGCTCAAGGCTCAATCTTTCAACTACTTAAACATGTTTG